CGTTCAGTAACTACGTATATATATATATATATATATATATGTGTGTGTGTGTGTGTGTAATTTATTTAATCAGTAATATACATATATATATGTATAATTTATTTAGATTTTTTATCTGAATAAAGGAAATGTAAGGGTACGTTCCTATTTTTATTTCAATGTCGGGCAAAATTTTAACTATTAGTAGATCGTTTCACTATTCAATTTCCTTGTCTGCTACTTTTGTTTTAAATTTTTTAATATTCATTTGGTTTTACTTTATTCATTCAACTTCAAAAAACAATCATTATTGTTCGATTTCTCATATTAGAACAATTATACCTATATATTTTATTTTTTATTTAGCTTTTGGTTTTAATTTGGAATTGTTTTATTAAAATTTATTTTTTTAACAAAAAATTGATACTTTTCTCTATTTTTTATTATTTTATATTAAATTTAAATTCCACTCGAATTCAATTAACTTATTTAAAAAAAACTATATCTAGATATTTTGTTCATTATTCGTTGGATAGAGACAAAAAAATAACCATTCCTAATATGCTGTTTTGTAAGGAAAATAATAGTTGTAAGAAGAGAGCGGAAGGAATATAACACATAGGTCGTTACCCAAAAAAAAAAATATATATATATATATAACACATAGGACATTGACTCATCAAATATCTGCTTCTTAGCTCATTAGCCATAATGGAAACAATTATTTCTTTTATGAACTTGTTATTAAACAATATTTTACATATATACACATACGTATATGTATATATATTTCTCCAAAATTCGAATCCAAGATCGCTCAACTCTAACCACCATAATAATAATAATAATAATAATTTATAAATTGGCGAAATTAATTAAGGGAGGGAGAAGCTGTAAGCGACCGACCGTTTCACCCATTCTCTCTCTAAAATTTAATAAATTCTCTCCACGACGCAGGAGTAGAAGAAGACACAGAAATCTTCATCTTCTGCTATTGTCTCCATCTATACATACATAAATACATACACCTCTCTTTCCGTATATATATATATATATGCACTTCTATACAGCATTATTCTTCCTATTGTCGCAAACCCGGAGCTTCAAATTCGTGATGATCGTGGAAGCTAGCATCCACATGGACTTGTAGAAGTCGAATCAGGTTTCGATCCTGATTTTGATTTTTCAAATTTAATTAACTTCTTATGTTTTCGGAAATGGTGATCTTTGTGCTCATCTGTAATTTTTTGAATTTGCAGGTTTTCAATCGGAGACGATGAGCAGCAGAAGTAGCAGCAGCGGTTCGAAAACGCCACGATCTGCGAAAGCAAACATTGTGAGCGACGAGTTTCTTAAATTTTTTTTCTCCCGATCATAAATTTGTTTTTTGGTGATCCGATTTCAGAATCGGGTATGGAGGTTGATGAATTCTACATCTCCGTCGTTTGCTTCAATGGCGAACACATACTCAGTACTCGTACTCGATTTTGTTCTGATCTAAAAAGGCGGATTTTGGATTTGGAGAAAAAAAAAAGGAGTTTCAAAAGGGATTTTTTGGGAAACGAATCTTTTCGAGCATCCTTTAGGGAATCCGAGGAGGTTTCCACCATTTTTTTACTGTTCAATTGCTAAAAACAATGATTATGGTTCTTATTTGAATTTCTGTAGCAGATCCATCCTTTTGACGAAATTAGTTTACAATTACAAACGAAGATCATTGAATTGAAACCCAGAATTGTTGTATTCTAACGAATGAAGGAGAAGGAGGAGATGCAGAGGAAGAAGGTGAAAGATGGCGAAAATGGAGCTGGAAATCGAAGGGCGTTGAATCGGGAGAAGAAAATGGCTCTGCAGCAAGATGTGAAGCTTCTTTTTTTTTAAACGTTTGATTGCTTTGAATTATTTGGGACCCTACAGTTTTCATGATGAGTTATTTGCTCTTTGAAGGTGGATAAGCTGAGGAAGAAGCTTAGACATGAAGAGGACATTCACAGAGCCATGGAGAGAGCCTTCAATAGGCCTCTGGGAACACTTCCTCGTCTTCCTCCTTTCCTTCCTCCTCCGGTAAATCTCTTCCAGGGTTTTGATGATTTGCGTTTGTTGAGAACTTGTGATTCATATGATGCCTTGAGGTCTGGGGATTAGTCAGGCCGAAGATTTGGATCAAGAATTGTTTAATAGTATTGGAATTACGTTTGTTGGTGTAGATGTTGGAGCTTCTTGCCGAAGTGGCCGTTCTTGAAGAGGAGATCGTCCGGTTGGAGGAGCAGATTGTGCATTACAGGCAAGACTTGTATCAGGAGGCCGTTTATACGTCTTCCGTGAGGAGGAACGTGGATGGTTTAGTTGATGGTGTTCATAAGCAAAGCCAAAGCAAGAGTCCAACACGGGAGAAACCCAAGTCCGCGTCCAGTAACTTCGGTAAATCCGAGCCACTTCTGTCACGGGAATCGCCATCCATTTCAGGTGATCCTTGCGGAATTGTATGGTTAGGAACATCTGGTACTGAATTGGAATAGTTCAGCGTGATTTAGTGTTATGTTTCGTTATGTAGAAAGTAGGAGGAGTACAGAGAATCGGTTAAGAGCTAACACTTTGAAAAGCGGTAGAGAAACCTCGGTCCAGAAATCCAAAACGGTCAGGACCCTGGTGGAGAAATCTCTTGTTCGTCACAGATCGATGAGTAAGAGTTTAGATGCTCAGAAACTACAGGTATTTTTGTATCACTATCCTTTCTATGAATTTTTTGTATCCTTTTGCTGTGATGAATTCAACTAATGTGGACCTGCGTATATGCGCCAGGAAACGCGGATGCGTGACCAAGCAAATGCAGAACAAAGGTCTAGCAATGGTTCCGATGAAAAGTCCGTCGGAGATTGTAGCCCAAATAAAATTTCCGAGGATTTGGTTAAGTGTCTGTCAAACATTTTCTTGAGAATGAGCTCGGTAAAGAGCCGGGAGGGAACAGAGCATTTGTCCTGCTTGCCGAGGTACCCATCTCAAGAAAACGATAAAGAGACAGTTTTCAGGGATCCTTATGGCATTTGTTCGAGCTTTGGGGAAAGAGACATTGGCCCATATAAGCATCTGGTTGATGTTGAAGCATCTTCAATCAACCGAAACAGAACCTCGAGTTCTTTGTTTCTTATCCGCCGGTTAAAGTAAGTTATGTTCAAGAATTGCATTGTCTGATTCCGGTAAAACGTTCTTAGTTTCGTTCTATCATAACTACCAGACTTCTGCTCGGGAGACTCTCTTCAGTCAGCTTGCAGAAACTCAACCACCAGGAGAAGTTGGCATTCTGGATAAACATTTACAACGCTTGCATGATGAATGTACGTAATGAGATCGGTCCCGCTTCTTCTTTTAATCGTTTCGGGTTTTGGTAGATTATATTCTGTTACACTCCTCCTTCAATATCACTTCACCTACACTGGAAATAATGTCAAGTTCACCATCTCATTCAGTGGGCACCATCCTTCTTACATACAATGCAATTGTAGTTTCCCCTTTAAGAGCCGACTATAGAAACCGAACCCTTTTACCATTTTTGTGCGCTGATTCTCGCAGGGTTTTCTGGAACACGGAATACCAGACAGCCCCGAAATGGTGATGGCACTAATGCGTAAGGTAAAACTCGTCGGGCCGTGTGCCAGTCTTACGATACTTTTCTCCATGTTAGCATATGAATAGAAATCTTCTCAAGCTGTTCATCAATGGTCCCCCCATCCATGGTGGTTTTGATGCAGGCAATGATAAATGTGGGAGGACACTTGCTCAACGCCATGACCATCGAGCACTTCATCCTCAGATTACCATATCATTCTAAGGTAAAAAAATATTCCGTGCCTCTATCCCTTTCCCTAGACGTTTGTCGTTATCAACTTCTGTCGCCATCGTGTGATACTTTCTTTGGTTTTTCAATTTTCTTGGCCCTGTCTTTGCTCTAACAGACTTCCCTCAAGGGTGCAAGAAATGATGAAATGGCAGCGAGGAGTAAATTCGGGCTGGAATTATCCGAGCCTCTCGTAACATTTGCACTCTCATGTGGAAGCTGGTCCTCACCTGCTGTAAGTATATATATATATGACAGTCTGTTGCAATCAACTTACTCGGCCTTTAAATGAAAGAACAGCTCGAATCCAATGGTCCCCGGCACCCCAAAATAAATGCTTTGTGGATTGTGGTCAGGTTTTTGTCTTAACTGGATGTTAAATCAATTCCTGAATCTCATCTTGTCAGAATTGGTTGATTCTTAGGACAAGTAGCACAAATGTGATAAGTGTTGGTAAGAGGGCATTGACACAAACACTCAAAACCCGAAAAAAGATACGAACCATTTGGATCATGACCCTCATTTCCGATGATAAATGAATCGTTCTTTTTTTTGAAGGTACGGGTATATACGGCGGGAAAGGTGGAGGAGGAGCTCGAGGCGGCGAAGAGAGAGTACCTGCAGGCGGCGGTGGGGATACCGATGAAGACGGAGAGAATGGGGATACCAAAACTGTTGAATTGGTATCTTCACGACTTTGCAAAGGACATGGACTCCTTGCTTGATTGGATCTGTCTTCAGTTGCCAACTGAGTTGGGGAAAGAAGCTCTCAAATGTCTTGAGAGAGGGATGCCCTCTCTTCTTGTTCATATTCTGCCTTATGACTTCACTTTTAGATACCTTTTCTCCACCTGATTTTTTTTTAATTTCTTATAAAAGAGTACATATTTTTTTTATTATATATTTGAAATGGGTTTCCACGTTTGATATAAATATTTACTATTTTTTGCAGTGGAAAATTCTTTAAAATGTGCGATATAAATAATTTTCCGGCCCTTTTCATTTGCTTCCCCCCCATTGTGGACTTCCTTTCGCCACCTACAACACCACAATTTCGTTACATAATTAATTATTATTTTTAGATAAGGAATTTTCGCCTTGTCATTTCGTTGCTCTTAGTAATGGTTTTGTTATTGTCATTTCGTTGTCTTCACTAATTATTTAGTAACGAAATTGTTTGAGTTTGATTTTGACGTGATTTTGTTTTAGCGGGTCTTGTTTATTGATTGACTACATATTAATATCATTATTAAAAAATATTCAAAAAAGCTAAATGCTAAGATAAGTTTGGTAGCAAATCATGTCAAGGTGAGAATGGGAGACACTACCATTTTGATGTTGTCAGATCTTCCATGAATTCCCTTCACATTTCAACATACCCTTCTTTTTTTTTAAGATTGAGTCACGGGATGTTTTAAATGATATCTAACTATGAACCGACACTTTTAACTCTTCTATATTTACATTAATCCGCGTTTGTTTTTGAATCAACGCACGAAACGATAAAGAGGTGGTCTCAAGAATTGTTTCAGTATGGTTCGAACCCCTGACTTCTAATTAAAGGACGAATATGTTGAACCATCTATATCAACCATTAAAGAACATACCATTCTTTTCATATTGTATAATTTTGATCTTGGTTTATTATACTCATATATCATCATCCATCTCATAAAAAAATACATGAAAAGAGGCCATGTGAAATTGAGCTTTCTTTCCTTTTTTTTGTATCTTCACACACCTCTATCTAAACCAAGTTTTATAAAGCACAATTCAGTTGCATAACTCCATCATTATGTCTTTTCTACATATCAAACCCTAACTTCATTCTCTAACCAGAACTACTAACAAATATAATGTCCCGCGAATGTTACGGACATTACAACTGTTACCATCGATCAAATTTGTGACATTTTAATCATGTTATATCTTCACTCGCACACTTCTCGAAAAGTATTCTCCAAAATGTCATTCATATTAAAACAACTATAAAACTAATATGTTTAACTTTTGAATTCTCTCGAAATAGATAATAAAAAACATAAATATAGCTTATTAGTACGAATAATTTAATCAATTCCTTTTAAGTCGTTTCTAGGTATGTAATCTTATAAAAATACATATTAATTAATAATTGAATCATATTAATTAATAAAAATATTAATAATAAATTTATTTATTGATTTTAAATAACTATTAATTTATATAATAAAGATTATTTAATGATAATAAATATTTTCTTTTAACTTTTTTATGTACTGATGATAATAATTATAATATTTTTTTAAAGGAATATATAAATTGAGGGTTTATAAAGCTCTATTATAAATATAATAATTTTTTAAAAATAAATATTTTAATTTTTATAGAGCTATTAAATTTTGGTATGTAATTAATTTTTATAATTTTATAATTTATTTATCTTTAATAATAATATTAAAATTTTTCATTAGAAACAAAAGTTGAAGTTAAAATGTTGATTGAATATTTTTCACAAATTGAGATTATTTTATTTTTTATAATTGCATACAATTAATAATAATACAGGAGTAGAAGAAGACACAGAATAATAATAATAATAATAATAATAATAATAATAATAATAATAATAATAATAATAATAATAATAATAATAATAATAATAATAATAATAATAATAATAATAATAATAATAATAATAATAATAATAATAATAATAATAATAATAATAATAATAATAATAATAATAATAATAATAATAATAATAATAATAATAATAATAATAATAATAATAATAATAATAATAATAATAATAATAATAATAATAATAATAATAATAATAATAATAATAATAATAATAATCGAACTGATGCACAGTTGGTAAACAGTAAAACAAACCACAACTAAAATCAAATCTGAGTTTCTTAACCAATCCATAACCGGAAATAACCTAGACACTCAAGTCTCATAAAATCAAGTAAATATTAAATTCATATCTCCGTCTCATAAAATCATATAAATATTAAATTCCTGCAAAAGGTATAATGATACCATTAAAGATTGAATAGGAGAGAGGAAAGGACATACGCTTGTGACAAAAGACAACTAGGTTTTTTTTTTAATAAAAAAACATAAATTAGTCGCAACGGCTTAATGTCGATAATTAGAACAATTTGCAAATAAAAAATAAATAAATTCTTCGTATATTATGTGAACTGCGAGAGATCAAATAATCTATAATTAAATTTCAATTAATTTTTTTTCATATTTTTATATTTGATTTGATTTTATATATTTAAAATAAAAAATATATTATGTAAACAAATTTTGGTTCAGATTAATTTCACTTGTTTTTTTATTGATTTGATTTTTACATTTTTAATCATATATCTAACTATAAACGTTGTTGCACTCTATTATAAAAAAAAAATCAATATTTTTTAATGTTCCGACAATATACAACACCAAAAATAGTAATCCTTTAGTCATCTATTGGAAGAGATGTAGAGCCAAATGGAAAGAGGGTTACTGAACAAAATCGAAGAAAATATAGATGGTAGGATGGTTATAAAAAAATATTCCTAATTTATTATGGATAAAATCTAATTTGTGGGTATATTTTAGTTGATAGGAGGGTGTTAATTTAGGTTCGAAACCCTAAGTTCAGTCCAAGTTCACTTGAAAAATGTCGGGGTTCAAATTAAGTTTTCCGATTGGAAAAGATTGAGCTTTCGGGTCAAATTTAAATCGGATTTTGGATCAGACCGAAAACCTATTAATTGATTTTAAAAATTAATAAAAAAATTTTAAATAATAAATTTACAAAGAAATTGAGCGGACCAATCCGGTCCAAACTGAGTTCGAAGCCTATAAAACCGGACTTTAGATTTGGTTATATAAAATTTAAAAAAAAATCGGATCAGTCCGAATTCGAATCCAAAACTTTCAGGGCGAATACGCGGTCGAACCGGATCGGGTGGGATCGGTCCGGTTGACTGTTGATAGTTGGTACGTTAAAGTCGTTAGTATACTATATATTCCCATAATCAAATATAACACGCATGTACATGTTACGTATCATATTCGGATTAATTTCATTTTTAGAAGTGTTTGCTTGCTTGTGTATTATTGGTCCAAAGTTCGGCCAAAGAGAATACACGTAATGCATTATTGCTGCATCTGTTTAATCGTCAGTCTCACAAAAGAAAAATCAAATTGACAAAAAATTAATAACATTGAACATATTTTTCTGAATTTAATATGAACATGAAAAAAGGAATAGGTACTTTAAACATAAAAAAATGTGAACCAAACCCATTGAATGTGCATTGTATTGTAATATTAATATTAGTTGGATGAATATTTTATGTAATTAAAATTGAACCAAATAATACATGATTATATTTAAATTAATTAATTCAATATAATTTCTCAAGTCAAAATTTAATCGAATCTAAATTATATAAAAAAAATATAAAATCAAATGAAAATAAAAACTTTTAAAAAAATATTATTAATAAGTCAATTCTGAAGAAAAAGTTATATGATATAATTCTTAAAATAAACGAATTAAATTCGAAAATAGACAAATAAATATCATTGTTCTCATTTAAAAAAAATGTGTATACTATAAGAATGTAATTTCTAAAACATTGATTTTAGTTTTATGTTTACTCAAAAAAATCATATCTGTCATTATCATTTGAAAATTTACTTAACATTCGTTTTTTTCTCTCTCCCAATTTTAGTATGGTCATCTTAACCTAACTATTTCAAATGACTGACCGATTCCTTATTTCTAGAAGAATATAAACAAAATTATATATATATATAATTCCAAACTAAACTCGGTTTATTTAATTTTAAATGGTTCATCAAAATTAAATACAAGCATTTTTGTTTGGATTTCATTCACATATATATATTTTTAATAATACTTGTGTATTATATATATATATATTGAAATTATATCAATCCAAGTTTTTTGTAAATACTATCAATTAAATTAATTTAATTTGATTCATTTTGTGTTTATATTTTACGCGACCGGACCCGATCCGACCCGGTCCGACCCGGTTCTTTGTATTTATTCTCGTTTATAAATGCATATATCTACCGATTTGTATGGCAGTTCAAACCAGATAGAGATTGAAAGTTCAGAAGCTTCTCACCACCGAGAATGGCGACGGACGAGGCCTCACCGCTTCTCCGCCGCGGAGAATCTCCTGGAATCGCCGGAATAAAGTTGCCGGCGGCGAGGGAGTTCGGCGAGGAGTCACGGAGGCTGTGGAAACTCGCCGGGCCGGCGATCTTCACGGCAATCTGCCAGTACTCGCTCGGAGCACTGACTCAGACCTTCGCCGGACACGTCGGAGAGCTCGAACTCGCCGCCGTCTCCGTCGAGAACTCCGTCATCGCCGGCCTCGCCTTCGGCGTCATGGTTCGTTCGTTTTCGCTCACACGTGTCTCTTTTAGATTTAATTTGTTTTTTCCTCTCTAACTTAAAGTTAAAAACATTTAATTATAGTTAAGTATCTTATTTTGTAATTATTAATTAAATGGTTTTAAGATTATCGAAATTGCGTGATTCTGGTTCGGCCACGATGAGGGTACAGCTTACGAGGAGGAAGTCGTTGGCGTTGCTGTGTATATTAATATATATAACACGTAAATATATATTTTTAATTATTGTTATTAAAAAATAATTTAAATTTGGGAAAATTCTTAAAAAAATTCTGAATTTTGTAATTTTAATTAAAAAAATGTGATTTTTTTACTTTATCGAAAAAATATTAAACTTTTTAAAATAAATATAAAAAAATACGATAAAAATTAAAGATTTTCTAAAATTTAGTATTTTTTTAGAATTTTCCCTTTAAATTTCTTTAAAAATTAGACAAGAGAGCGACAGGCAGTGCTAAAAGGTAAAAAAAAAACCAAAATAGGTTTTCTTCTCTTCTGCAACTGCTTCTCCCCCCCACCCGACACGTGTTGTCTTTAGCAAAGCCTTCGCCATTCAGTTTTGTTTGTTTGTCCACTTGTACAATAAAATCTCATTTCCAATCCATAATTATCCAATTTGAATACTCGACTTGACTCTTTGAATTGAATATTGGAAGATCAGAAATCTGAATATAGAATTAATTTGTGGTAGAAATCGAAATTATTTATAGATCTGCTGTAATTTAGATTTTGTGATTTTATAGTTAGACAGAATATTTAATATATATATATATATATTAAAATTTACAAGACGATTTTTTATGAATTATATTACTCATTTTGCTAAAAAAATTAGAAAAATATTTTTGTATTTTTTAAGAATTCGGAAATACATCTTACATTTATAAAATCAGACTTTCGCACGGATGTGTTTTAATATTTCAGCGTACGGGTGTAATGAATAAATTTCAGAATACGGGTGTAATCAATGAATTTCCGGATATGGGTGTTTAAATATTTTTTTTTTTTTATATTAAAGGAATAATAGTAGAAGGGATTCCAAATTAATACTATTTTGTTAAACAGTGTTATCTTCAAAAATGCCCAATTTATCATATAGCGTCTTAATAAATCTGTAGGGTTCTTTTTTTTTTGTGCAATGGGAAATTAGATCCAACAAAATCATATTTTATATTAGCTTGCATAGTAGAAATTATATATATAAAAGTTATATAAATCTATAATGGAGTTTTTGAAGTACGTGAAATTCTGTAAATTAGAGAATATGGAGTTCTGTAAATCCCTAATATATAGATTCCAATTTTCTTTTATTTTATCCTTGTCTCGAATATTGAGTTCGACATAACGTTGGTATAAGCAAGTTTAAATCGTTTAGGCTCTGATACCATATAAGAATATTTCCGTAATAATTGAGATTCATTACTGATAAAATCTTGAACGGTCTGCAAAATGCCCCGCTTTTGAATCCGGGTTTGCACGAGAGAGATGTCAATGACCACGTTTCCTTTCCTTAGTGACGTTTAGTCTTTTAGGTTCTAATACCATGTACAAATATTTCGGTTATAGTCAAGATTCAAGATGGTTTGAACTCTTTATGTAATACTCGTGTTTGAGACCGCGTTTGCGCGATAGAAATCTCAACGACTAGGTTGTGATACCATATTGATACTACATAAGAATATTTACGCTAATCAATATTCAAGACAATATTTAAGATCTTGAATGGTTTACGAAATGGCTTGTGGTTTCGGGTGGCAGCTAGGGATGGGGAGCGCACTGGAGACGCTATGCGGACAAGCGTTCGGAGCGGGGCAGTTGCGGATGTTAGGAGTATACATGCAGCGTTCTTGGGTCATTCTCTTCGTCACGGCTTGTTGTCTACTTCCTATCTACATTTGGGCTCCTCCTATCCTTTCTTTCTTCGGCGAGGCTCATCATATCTCTCGAGCCGCTGGTACGTCCCCGATCCCTTTTCCTCGTCTTATTCTTATTTGGGAATGTTTCATTCATTTCGCTCAACTATATCTCCGATGCAACAATTTATCCGTTTGTTGTTTCGGTCCAAGTTTGACCGAGATATGTATCTTCGACATGTTTGACACAGGAAAATTCGCGTTGTGGATGATACCACAACTTTTTGCGTACGCGATGAATTTCCCGATACAGAAATTCTTACAAGCTCAGAGGAAAGTGTTGGTGATGACTTGGATTTCCACGGGTGTACTCGTGATACACGCGGTGGCTAGCTGGCTGCTTATCCTCAAGTTTAAGTGGGGACTAGTCGGAGCTGCCATTACTCTCAACACCTCGTGGTGGCTGATCGTCATTGGTCAGTTGTTGTATATTTTCATCACGACTTCGGATGGCGCGTGGAGCGGATTCTCATGGCTCGCATTCCGGGATCTATACGGTTTCGTCAAGCTCTCCTTAGCTTCCGCCATCATGCTCTGGTAATTCCGCCCTTTGCCAATAACTAAACTAAATGATGTGAACAAGATACATACTTTCTTATACGTTTTTTACGATATGGTTTCGTATCGTTTGTTTGTACATACGAGCGAAAGATTAGGATAACGATTAGGGTTTCGGTTACCTCGGTGAATGCCTTTGCAGCTTGGAGTTCTGGTACTTGATGGTTTTGGTGGTCATTACGGGTCTTTTGCCTAATCCATTGGTTCCCGTTGATGCCATATCTATATGGTAATTGATCCGGAACACTCTCGAAAGCCTTTTTTCTGTCTTCGATTACAGTTTTATACGGTTATCGACATCAATATGTTAGTATAACCCTCTCGAAATTTCTTTATGTCCATACTTTTCACAGCATGAACATACAAGGTTGGACAACCATGATCTCCATAGGGTTCAATGCTGCTATAAGGTAAAGGTTTGGCCTTTGATCTTGTATCTGTAGAAATATAGTTAATTACAATAGTGTCCTTATCTGATTTTTTTTGTTCGGTCAGTGTGAGGGTGTCGAACGAGTTAGGAGCGGGAAACGCCCGGCTAGCGAAATTCTCGGTGGTAGTCGTCTCTATAACGTCGATCGCGATCGGATTCGTGTGTATGTTTGTCGTCTTAGCCACGAGATTTTACTTCCCTCGTCTATTCACTTCAAGCGAAGCCGTGGCAGAAGAAACAACGAGACTCGCCGTCTTGTTGGCTTTCACCGTCCTCTTGAACAGCCTCCAGCCTGTCTTATCGGGTAAATTATCGCATATCCGAATGTGTTAGGACGAGAATTTCGGGTCACGTGACTCGGGGAAACTTTTTTTTTTCCGCCATCAGGGGTCGCGGTGGGAGCAGGATGGCAATCTCTAGTGGCTTACATCAACATCGGGTGCTACTACATTCTCGGTTTGCCTCTCGGTATTGTGCTCGGATTCCCTCTAGGCCTCGGCGTTGAGGTGAATTACCCAAAATACCCTTTCCCGACGCCTTAAAGCTGTTTTCGGGGTTTTTTTTACATCGGGTTTTCGGGTTATGACAGGGGATTTGGTCAGGCATGGTTGCGGGGATTTGCTTGCAGACCCTGATATTGATCGTCATCATCTGCATGACTAACTGGAACAAAGAAGTCCGTACCGTTTTGTACCTTCTGCCATGTCTATCACACTATATCCCCCCCCTCCACACACACGCACACGCACGTGTATATACATATATATATATATATATAGAGGTGGGCGTTTCACAACCGTACTGAACCAAAAAATATGGTATCGTTACGAATTGAATCGTCTAAAATTTTCGAACGATAATTTTTTTAGAAAACTGAATTTCTCCGAACTAAACGGATTTGAATATTAAAAAATCCCAAAAGGTCAAATTTTTTTTAAAAGAAAATCTAAAGTTTTCTTAGCAAAAATCAAAACTGAATCAAATATAAAATAATAATCAATTGGTACATATTTTGTAGAACCAATGCGAACGATTTCTGAACCAAACCCAAACCGAATACTGAAATACCCACCCGATATATATATGTGTATATATATATGTATGAATATGTGTGTATACACACATATGCATGTAGGTATGGTTGTATCTACGTATAACATGCATGCGTTCACATTACCTCGATTTGGTTCTGTAGGAATTTGATGTATCCAATCGCCTCCATCAGTACAGATGCCGTATCAGTCTGCATTTTTATCAATAAATCTAATTAATTGCACGTAACATAAGAAACTAAAAAATTATCAAAACTTACGAAAAGGTGATCATATAGATAATGAGAGATTAATTCTAAACTTTTTTTATGGATTAATTAAGTTAAATATGGATGAAAAAAACCAGATTAAATAATATATATATACTGTAAACGTAACGATTTTATTTTTTCTTGCAGGCCGAAGAAGCGGAAACTCGGGTTCGGAGGTGGGGAGGAACAGCCGTAGAATAATGTGATATGAGTCATCTGAATTTATTTAATATATCCAAATATATATTAGAACTAAATTTCGATTTCTATGGAGAAAATTATAAATTTGTTAGGTGACGATTTGGTTATTGTTTTTTTTTTATATATTTTTCTGAACTTCATTGCCGGTTTTGAGCAATGGGTTAACCTTTTTTTTCCAGAGATTTTTCGCCTTTAATTTTGGTTAATTTTTATATTCCGTTTAATTCAGTTAATTTAAATTAGATTAGATATATAATCAAATTTTGGATCGGATCAGATGATGTTGGTTCTATTACAACAATGTCGAGGAAAAAAACACTAGATGAAAATTGGCTCAATTGTTAACGGTTCTTTCTTTGGTGTAATTTCTTGCATTTGTATATGAAACTTGGCCCATAATTATTTACATTTACTTGGTCATTCAAGGTAAAACTATAAAAAAAATTTAAAGGTGAAAAATGAATTTCTAAACTTTTTGTTTAATAAATTTATTCTCAAAATTTGTAAAATATATCATTATAATTTCTAAAATTATAAAATATATCATTATAATTTTTAAATCAGTATGGTCGAGCATTTTTCTAATATTATTAATAAATTTGAGAATTATAATGATATATTTTATAAGTTTGATAATAAATTTATTAAACGAAAAATATAAAAATTTACATTTACGTGTACACATATTTTTTTTTAAAGTAAAACCTATAAAAAAATTTAGACTTATAAAATGATGAAAAATAAATTTGTAAACTTTTTTTTAATAAATTTATTCTCAAAATATATAAAATATGTAATTATAATTTCTAAAATTGTAAAATATACCATTATAATTTTTAAACTGAAATTTAAATCAAAATCGTCAAACATTTTTCTAACACCAATTAACAAATTTGATAATTATAATTTCATATTTTATAAGTTTGATAATAAATTTGTCAAACGAAAAATATAGTTTTTTTAAATCATTTTAGAAGTTATGGCTTTTACCTATTTTTTTACTACATTGCTATGCATGCTGCCATTTCAAGGGAGCGATAATCATGTAAATTACTGTTCGAATTATAAAATGGGAATTTTCTGTGCCGCGAGGAATGGTTGGGGTGAATTTAGAAAGAATAAAAAATGTAGGGGCTACATTTAATTTTCTAAAATTAATTAAAAAAATAAAGAAAAAACCCATGGAATGGACCGGTTCGATCGGGAAGCTAAATTGCGCCAAGCACTGCATTTCTTCGTCATCAACCTTTTGGAGATTTCGTTCGTTCTCATCTCGGAGGAACCATCGGAGATCGGTTCGATCCATTTGGTGAAATCACAATGTTCAGCAGCCCCAGCACCAACAACAGTGTATCGATCTCGGTTTCGGATGACGAGCCCGACGAGATGAATCGGATCCGAGCCCGCTCCCGTAGGAAGCGCAAGAAACTCAGTCACCGAGCCAACGGTGAGTTGCCTCGCCGGGTTCTGAGGCTCTTCCTGAGGTACTGGGTCGTCTTGATATTTCTTCTCGCAGTTGGACTGCTCGTCTTCGAAGCGACGAGGATCGGAAGGAAATCCGGCGGCGGAGCGAGTTCGGAACTCAGTCAGTTGAAGGAGCGGGAGAAGAAAGCGAGTCCGAGCAAGAAGAATGAGGGAAATTTGAACAGATTGGATCCAACGACGAGGGTTGTAGATGGCGTTAGAGAACGTAAGCTCGATCCTGTCCTTTCTTCCTCAGAATTTCCGTTTCCGAATTGTTTTGTCACTGGCATATGAAATCTGAACAGGATACGGTAATGAAATTGGTTTATTGAGAATGGAATTTGATTTGTTTCTGCGTGTGCAATTGCCGAAAGGGAGATTTTTCCAACAATGTTGGCGAAAATTTGTTGTGGGTTTTGGGTTTTGAAGTACCCACGTCTGGATCTTTAGGGCCGATAGATGAATGTAGTGATGTTTACAATTATTTCTGCTGTGTTGTGTGACTGAATAAGCCCATGTATTGATTGATGTCATGTGAATGAAACCCAAGAATGATACTATGATTTGAGCACTCTGTCTACGGATGTTCTTTATATGAAAAGATTGCAAATGAGGGACAGATTGATAATTGAGACATGATTTGTGGATTGTCTAGCTTGTTTGAAGCTGCTGCCTCCTGATGACCTCGAGCTTCTTGATTTCCCGGAGCGTAAAGATTCAGGTTCTCCCGTGCGAGAAGTTGTGTATCTATCTGATACGGGCACTTCTTCTATGGAAGAGAAGATGGCTCTGCGTTGGCAGGGGACCAACGGGACCCGTTTTAATCTATTCACAGGAAACCAAACTTTTGCCGAGAGAGAGAAGAGTTTTCAGGTCATGAGTTGGTAACTCTACAGACTAAGAGCTTGGGTTTTCTATAATTCTGGGAGATTTCTAGTCTGCCTATAACATCTTGGTTGCTGATTTATTTTCCTGTGATTCCCCTTGGTATCTTTGCTGCAGGTTAGTGAAAAGATGACTGTGCATTGCGGGTTTTTCAATGAAAATGGAGGATTTAGGATATCTGATGGGGACAAAAGGTTTATGCAAACATGTAAAGCAGTAGTGTCTACTTGTGCGTTTGGTGGGGGAGATGACCTTTATCAACCCATCGGAATGTCAAAGGCATCAAGTCAAAAGGTTGGTCACTGTGGGTAAATGTCATAACTTTCATCCTCTGCTCTCGAAACTAATTTGTTATATACTGAGTTAGCTTTGTGTAACGTTAAGTGAATTTTGTGGATATAGGTCTGTTATGTCGCATTTTGGGATGAGATTACTCTTGCTGCCCAAGATACAGAGGGTCATAAGATTGATGAGAATGGCTATATAGGGAAATGGCGAATTGTGGTTGTAAGGGACCTGCCCTTTACGGACCAAAGGCTTAACGGGAAAATCCCAAAGGTAATGTATGGTTCTGTATTAGGTTATTCTCCTTGATGCATATACTGATTGAATTCACTGGGCTTCGATTTCTTGTTGCTTAGCCATATATGTCCATTCCCATGTCTTCCCCTTTGGATCCACGAACTTCTGCCTCTGCTAACTTCTCCCTATTTTCACTTACCGTGTATGTGCTGATATTATCTGGCTCAATTGAGAACTCATTTACCTTAAAATTGATCAGTGTATTTCCTTGTTTTTCTTGACTGAGAATGTTATATGGTCTTTTTCTTGATCATGATTGGTCACCTCAGCAATTATTTTCCCCCATTTCGTTCTTGCATTTTCTTAAATTGGCTTGGAGCCACCATATTCCGTTTTCATTTCTTGCACATGCATATATGCAAATAATGTCAAATGTCTTCATTTAGATTTCAATGCCTCCATTTTTGTCAGATGTTGCCCCATCGCCTCTTCCCAAATGCCAAATATTCGATTTGGGTAGACTCGAAGTCCCAGTTTAGGAGAGATCCTCTAGGGGTACTAGAGGCTCTTCTTTGGCGAACCAATTCTGTTCTTGCAATTTCGGAACATGGGGCTCGTAGCAGTGTATATGATGAAGCAAAGGCTGTTGTCAAGAAACATAAAGCTACCCCAGAAGAAGTTGAGGTGCAGCTGAATCAGTATCGGCAAGACAAGCTTCCCGAAGATAAAAGATTTAACGGAAAGAAAGGTACATTTATCTTTGAGTATCAGAATCCAGCTAAATTTAACACTGGAGTTGTCTTGTTCCTTCGGAGTCACAAATACCCGAGTTGGGTTTTCTTCTTTCGTAGCGAGAACATAACCCAGATGCTTGGAAAGCATATGACTGGTTCTTCTCGCTTCCATTTCTCATATATCCTTTGCATAGGCTCCTCACTTTATATTGTAGCAGATGTCAGAATTGTTTTCATCGATGAATGCCAGAAATTTTACTACTTATACATTATCTGGTCATTCACCTAATGTATTCTTTTAAATCTCTTGTTTCCATGCAGCGTTATCCGAAGCATCTGTGATTGTGAGGGAACACACTCCATTAACCAATCTATTTTTGTGCCTCTGGTTCAATGAAGTCGTCCGCTTTACTTCTCGGGACCAGTTGAGTTTCCCTTATGTTCTTTGGCGCTTGAAAGTACTCAAGAACATCAACATATTCCCTGTCTGTACACGAAAAGATCTCGTCAATAGCATCGGCCATGTTCGCAAGGCAAAGCCCCTTCTGAACCAGTGATTCTCCGGTGAGTTCTATACCCGAACAATCCCGATTCTTTTGTTATTTAGATCGTTCTTGGTATTGAAATGTAACGGCTAGCTGGATTTTTTCGTTTTTCTTTTGGATTGATCTTCTGAGAAGTTATGGTTATGGAGTAAGTAGGAAAGTTCTTCTATGCAGATCAAGACAGAAAGGAGATTAGTTAGTGTTGTAGGAGTAGTTAAGACCAAAACCACTTATCCACCATTAAAAAACCTAAGATTTGTGTTAGAAAAGTATCACTTTCTCTTCCTCTTCTTCTTCTTCATCATCATCATGCTTGCCCGAATCATCTTCCTATCCGCAGTTGCTGCCGCCATTCTCGTCGTTCTTCTTCTGACCTTGTTTTCGCCCGTGCCTGAAAATAACCCGTCGGAATCTCTAATCTCCTTCTCCTTATACGTCCAACAACCCCGAGCCCGATCCTCCCCTTTCTCACGCCCTTACCATCATCGCCCGCATCACAAGCAAATGGTATCATCACCCCGAGGAGGAGCGTTGATTTTCCATCGGGCACTCACCGAGGGTCCCGAGAACACGTCTCGGGTAGTCGGGAAGGCTCAGGGATTCATCATCCCACAGGAGGAGTTTGCCAGATCGGATTTTAACGTAATTTACCTGACGTTCGAGACGGGGACGGAGTATAAAGGGAGTGTGAGTGTTAGGGCAAGGGAGATGGAACACAAGGACGAGGAGGTTCTCGACATTGTAGGAGGGACAGGAGCTTTTGCCTTCGCTCGTGGGATTGCTGTTTTTGCAGTTTTGGGCAGTGAAGATTCTGTAACCACTTATCGTCTTAAGCTTATGCTTAGGTTCCCCGACAGATCTCACACAGTTAGAACCGTTGATCTTTTATAAATGAGTATTTTTTTTACCAGTAATTACTAATATGGTTTTTACTTTTTATTTAGTTTTGTCAACCACAAATATCATTATTATGAAAAACAATTAATTTAATCTTTGGATATTTAACCACATAATCTTGATTATAGATGTTTGGGTTGAGTTTTTATTTGAAAAAATGTAAAGGAGTGTACATTCAAAGGAAGAACTCGTGAAATTATTTTTTAATTATTTTGTTAATGAGCCCTGAAATCAAATGTTTAACTACTTGAAATTTATAAGTTAAATAATATACACGTGCTTTTTTACAAGTGGCGCCACGTCACCGATTGTTTTTTCCCCCGAACATGGCATTAAGGCATAATATAATTCATTTGGGATGTCTTGCTTCGGTATTTGATTCGGGTTTGAGTTGAAAATGATTCGGTTTAGTTTTTTAGTTCTATAAAAATATGTATCAATCATTTATTATATCAATCATATTCGGTTCGATTTCGCTTATAGTTTTTATTATGAAAATTTTAGATTTTTTTATAAAATTTTTTTGTTTTTCGAATTTTTTAAAAATTCGCTTCGCCTCGATTAACTTTCAGAAAATTTAGTTTTACAGAAAAAATTAACATTCGAAAATTTTGAATGATTTAATTTAAAAATCGAAATTTTTTTTATTCGATATAAGTTCGATTCTAAATAACCGTACCAAAACTTTCTCCATAATGAATTTTCCCAAATGAAGACCAAAATTCTTTCATTCGTTCAAAATTTTACCCTTTTATTCTCATCCATTCCTTTGACGTGGCACACCGAGCTTCTTTTAGATTTCTAAAAAATTATTTCGGAATTCAATTTGAATTTTACTTTTTAAGAAAAATATATTTAGTTGATTATTAAATTTCATTCGAATTTTATTTAAATTCATTTTTATTAAAATATATTAGATTTTAAAATTATTGGTTCTCATCGTACAACAAAGTTGTATAGAATAAAATTTTAATTAAAATATGATTATATATTGTTTTTATTGTTTTTTTAAAACTAATGAAAAATATTCTCTACATTTTTTTTCGAATGCCAAAGTAAATCCGTATTTTTCTTAATAATTATTTTTGTATTTTTCCGAAATTAGTTAATTTAATTTTAAGGCTCATTTTGCTCTTGGCTCGTTCTCACATGATCGCCTGGTGATTCATCCGACCATTTTTTCTCTTCGACGAGAAGAGAGAGAAGGTACAACAATGGCGAAATCAAGCGCCGACGATGGCGATCTCCGGAGAGCTTGCGAGGCGGCGATCGAAGGAACCAAGCAACAGATCGTCATGTCGATTCGCGTCGCTAAGAGTCGCGGGATCTGGGGAAAGTCCGGCAAATTGGGCCGACAAATGGCCAAGCCTAGGGTTCTCGCTCTTTCCAGTTACGTCTCCCTGTTCATTTGACGCGTTTGATCCTGAGTTTTAATTACCATTTGGAAAATTCTGCTTTCTGTGCCTGAGATTTCTGGTTGATATTCGCTTTTGGTTGATTTGTGCCTTAATTGTTCAAATCTGATGTGCGAGAGTGTTATTCGTATGTTTTCGAGTGTGGATTATGAATCACAGTAGTAATTATTTCTTATAGCGGAAGAGTCGAGTTGAGGTAATTGAATTGGTAGGAGTGAGATGTTTTGCGATATCAAATTCCGAAGGCTGCGTGAAGAATCATTAGTGTTGTTTTGCAGTGGGACAGTATCCAAATAGTTAGGGCAAGAGTTTTTGGACCTTGAGGAGGGTATGCTATCTGGGAGCAGGATTTTTGGATGTACTTGATGAATGTGTAGTGTGAGGCCTCTTCTTATGGACTGTCTCGATTTTGAGTCTCTTTAATGTCGTAACAAAGTTTTTTTGAGAGGAAAAAAACCCAGTTAGAGAGGGGATACCCATGATTATGTGAAGACAGGCTCTGAGTCCATTAGAAAACATGTTACCTTAGGTTCTATATTTCAAGATGCATCGATAAATATCATTGGGTTTGTGATAGTTCAACTGATGGACCGAGCATTGGTCCATCCTTTCTGCAGTCAAATCAAAGGGCCAGCGGAAGAAAGCATTTCTTCGTGTCATGAAGTACTCAACCGGAGGAGTTCTTGAGGTCAATTTTCTTTTCTTGATCCAAACTGGAGTTTCCTGAGAAATTGATATGGCTGATTAACGTATAAGGAAGAGAAACTATATGATAGTGGTCTAACTTATGGAAGTTCATGTAACTGATGATGTTTCTGTTTTTCTCTTTTTGGTGTTTATTCAGCCTGCTAAATTGTACAAGCTCAAGCATCTTTCAAAGGTGGAAGTCGTAACGAATGATCCAAGTGGATGCACTTTTACCCTGGTACTGCTAAAACTTCACTTTGCAGTGGAAATTGTAATATTGTGTTCAATATTTGTCGTGTTCCCTTGTCTTTTCCTGATGCAAAGTATTTTAGGGATTTGATAATCTCAGGAGCCAGAGTGTCGCTCCTCCTCAGTGGACCATGCGCAATATTGATGACAGGTAATACAGTCAATAATGCACATATTAACTTCAAGAAGATGTCAAGGGCGGATGACAGATGATGAATGATTTGTTGATGTTGTTTTGCTCACTTTTGACAACCTCTGTTCCTTATATTGGTTGTAGGAACCGACTTCTAATTTGCATATTAAACATATGCAAGGATGTGTTGGGTCGCCTTCCCAAAGTTGTTGGTATCGATGTTGTGGAGATGGCCCTTTGGGCTAAGGTGTGGTTAATAATTCTTCTGCTTTGGAAGTCCAGTTTAGATTTCGTATTTTAAGAAATCCATCCTTTTAAGTCCTCTTTTTCGATCTCTCTTTAAGTTTCCTCGATACTGAAGTAATGCGTTGCAATTGTTGACTCTTCTTTGGCTTACATTCTGTTCCAAACTATTTGTCTAGGAAAATACTCCCACAGTCACCACTCAGACGACTACGCAGGATGGGCTAGGGCCTGTTGCTGCTGCAGTGACAGAAACTGACTTGAAAGTTACTGTTGAGAAAGAACTTGTCTCTCAAGCTGAAGAAGAAGACATGGAGGCCCTGTTGGGAACGTATGTGTTTTGTTATATCTGTCATTTGGCTTTCAATAATTTGACTTATCTTATACATATGCATGCATATGTATTTTAAAGCCGGTATATACATTATAATTAAAGCGGGAGAGAAGCTTCTTACTGTTTCATCACAAGTTTAGTCAAAGAAGAAAATGGCATGAATAATATTCCGATATAGTATCTAACTTAAGTGCCTAAAATCAACTAGCAATCATATTGAATTCTTGCCACAAAATCATGAAAATTTGACCTATAAGGTTCCTGATCAATCTAGAAAGGCATATCGTCCAGCATGATGCCAATTATCTGAAGCCCTTTAAATTCTGTTCATGTGTGTCGTGTCCACTTCAAAATAAACGGAGCTGTATCTCCTTAAAAACTAATGGGCAAGGGTTCTACTTTCAGTTTTCTCATTTCTACTTGGTTATGCAGCTGCCTCTTCCCTTTAGAGTTTACCATTTTAGTCCCTACACTCATCTAATTGAGATATGCAGTTATGTCATGGGCATTGGGGAAGCTGAGGCATTTTCTGAAAGACTGAAGCGAGAGCTTCATGCTCTTGAAGCAGCAAATGTACATGCAATTTTGGAAAGCGAACCATTAGTAGATGAGGTAATTTCTTTTGTACCAAATTATTTTTTGTTAGAATTGTTTTTTTTAAAGTTAAAAGTTTGCTTCTTTATTTTAAAAGAACACATTTGATTTTCTTGTTTAATTGTTATTATTCTCATTTTGCAGGTATTGCAAGGACTTGAGGCGGCAAGTAATATCGTTGATGACATGGATGAATGGTTAGGAATCTTCAATGTAAAACTTAGACACATGAGGGAAGACATTGAATCGGTAGGAAGCTGCATTTTGTAATTGAGCTTCAGCATTGTAGTTCAGATCCTTCTTGTTCATTTGACATCCATTGTGAGAGCAATCTCTATGAATTTAAGAAACTTCCGTTTTATGCTGTTTCTAAACTCGTGGCATAGACACTGATTAATTTAGAATCTTTGTGGTTCATAAGTTGGTTTCTTCCGGATTGTTTAAGAAAAACAGTAATCTAGCAAAATTGACTATTTTTGTGTTATTTGTGCCTCATAGCTTTACTCATCAGCTTGTATCTTTCTCTGGTGGTCTGCAGATAGAAACGCGTAACAACAAGTTAGAGATGCAGTCTGTAAACAATAAAGTTCTCATAGAGGAACTTGATAAGCTTCTTGAGAGGCTGCGTATTCCTTCTGAGGTCTGCTATTCATTCCAACTAGCAATATGATCATCTCTATTATCTTCAAACTTCTTTCTCATCTCCCCATTTGGTTACTTATAGAAGTTTTACTGCTTGTAGTATTCAGCATCCCTCACGGGAGGCTCGTTCGACGAAGCACATATGCTACAAAACATCGAAGCGTGCGAATGGTTAGCTAAAGCTATAAAGGCTCTCGAAGTGCCTAGCTTAGATCCAATCTATGCAAAAATGCGAGCTGTATGCACTTACCCTTTTCTTCTTCCTTTTTTATTGTTCCGCGCACCATTCCATCAATCCTCCCCAAAGATATTATTATTAATGTGAAAGTAGTTAAATCTGACATCCAAATCATCCTGGTAGGTGAAGTGGTCTAGATACATGGTAGCATTATTCTTAGTTTTGCAGTCAATTAAGTATGGTTTATTTGGTTCTTGTCAAGTTTTTACTGAATTTGGTACATAGGTTAAATTCTGCTAACTAGTAAACAAAATTGAAGAGTTGTTTTGAATCATTTGCGAAAATTTCTGCATTTCGAATACATTTGTACGTGTTGTGGCCCTTTATCTGAATTTGGCTACTGTCACTGCATTTCCTTCAGGTAAAAGAGAAACGAGCAGAACTAGAAATAATAAAAGCTACTTTTGTAAGGAGAGCTTCTGAGTTCTTGAGAAACTACTTTGCTAGTTTGGTAGATTTCATGATCAGTGACAAAAGCTACTTTTCTCAGGTACTTCTTTTGTAAATGCTCTATCTTTCTAAGATGTAATTCCATGATGATGATTCTGAATATTGTTCAGTGCATCTGTTAAACAGAGAGGGCAGCTAAAGAGACCTGATCATGCTGATTTGCGGTATAAATGCAGAACATATGCTCGTCTTTTGCAACATTTAAAGGTCAAACTTGAATTGACTTCGGAAAGTTCTAGTTCAGTATTCTGTCTTCATCTTTTCTAAATGATTTTTCGTTCTTTTACAGAGTCTTGATAAGAACTGTTTGGCGCCTTTGAGAAAAGCATACTGCAGCTCCCTGAACTTGCTCCTTCGCCGAGAGGTCAGGAGCAAAAATTTAATTTGACTACAGATCTAATGGAGTGTGCTAATTTAATTGAAGTTGCTAAACAAAATGGTTGCCAAAAAAATACCAGCAAGGGATTTTCCTTTTACATTACATGGACGTTGTTCTTTTAGCATCTAGTATACAGCTTCTGTCAATGAAGTTTTATTTCTTTGGATTCGTTAGGCCCGTGAATTTGCAAATGAGCTTCGTGCAAGCACAAAAGTATCGAGAAACCCTACTGTCTGGCTTGAAGGATCTACAGGCTCCAATCAGAATGCAAACACCGATACTTCTGCAGTTTCAGATGCTTATGCAAAAATGCTGACAATCTTTATCCCACTTCTTGTAGATGAGGTGATTGTCATGCTCATGATTTTCTTTCTGGAATTTTTTATCTGACTAACAATATTCCGAGAACTTCGTTATGCATTGCTTTACCCTGCAGAGTTCGTTTTTTGCACACTTCATGTGCTTTGAAGTACCAGCGCTTGTCCCACCAGGAGGTGCTGTCAATGATCATAAGAAACAGTCCAATGATGACGATGAGAATGATGATGATGATTTGGGGATCATGGACATTGATGAGAATGACAAAAATTCTGGTAATCTCTAAATGTCTCCACCACTAGGACAGTTTTACTGACATCTTCAAATTATGTAGTCTTTTGGTTTCTGGATCTTCTTAGTATAGGACATGTTTGAAAGCAAAAGGCGTTCAATTTTGTAGGTAAAAACTCAGCAGACCTGTCAGCTTTGAATGAATCTCTTCAAGATTTGCTTGATGGAATCCAGGTAAGATGCACCAGATGGCCACCTTTACCATGTTAGATAGATGGTGCAATTTTCTATTTACTAGAGCAATCACATCTTATTCTCGTTACAAATTTATGGATCTGGATCTTGCAATTACAGGAAGATTTCTATGCTGTTGTTGACTGGGCGTATAAAATAGATCCTCTACGTTGCATATCAATGCATGGGATAACTGAACGTTATCTATCTGGTCAGAAGGCTGATGCAGCTGGCTTTGTTCGCCTTTTGCTTGGTGATTTAGAGTCGAGGGTTTCTATGCAATTCAGCCGAGTACGTTTGTGCATGGATTTATTTTTCAATTCTTCCTTCCTCTGCTGCTCACCATCCCAATTCGAATTTGACTGCAGTTCGTTGATGAAGCTTGTCACCAAATTGAAAGAAACGAACGCAATGTAAGACAGATGGGTGTCTTGTCATATATTCCAAGGTAATTGCGGAAAACCAAATCTTTTGATCTAGATTTTACCATGCCAAGGATTTCTATTCCCCATAAAACACTACATGTTTTCAGCTTTTAGACGATGCCACTTACTTCTGTGTGGCTTCAAATGCCATCTCCTGATAGTGTTGTTTATCAGAGATAAGACTGTAAACGAAAACTTGTAAATCTGGCATTTTCACTTCTTTTCTATCTTCTAATGTTCCTTTGAGGCTATTCTGACATTGTTATTTCATATTCATAGATTCGCAGCTCTTGCTACTCGTATGGAACAGTACATTCAAGGACATTCCAGGGATTTGGTTGATCAGGCATACACAAAATTTGTGAGTACCATTCTTTCTATAGCGTAATACGAGGTCAGGCAGTAAGATTATGAGAGACAAACAATGCAATTAGTTTGTTCTTGCCATGTCATGTAGTAAACGTGCAACCTCCAATTGCTTACAATCCTCGTTCTATGCAATGTATATATCCGGCCCAAAAGTTCATTTGGTTTGTTTTGTGCTGCCATTCATATAAGATTTAGCGTAGCTTCATCATGTATGTGTTTGGTAGAGGCAATATTTTTCTCCTTTCGTCATCAAAGTCTGACCACCGGTGGCTTACAGGTAAGCATAATGTTTGTGACTCTGGAGAAAATTGCACAGCAAGATCCTAAATATGCCGATATTCTCCTTTTAGAAAATTACGCTGCTTTTCAAAATAGGTACGATTTTCCGCTTTTCTATGAGTTTATCTTCTTGATGGTTAAAAAAACGATCAATACTTCTTCTTTTCCCCTCATTTTTCGACTTTGAAATTGCTTTTTCATGCGCAGCCTGTATGATCTGGCTAATGTTGTGCCCACTTTAGCAAAATTCTATCACCAGGCAAGTGAAGCTTACGAACAAGCATGTACCCGTCACATCAGCATGATAATTTACTACGTAAGTATTGCTTCCCTTTAATCTGATTCTTCGTTTGTTCAAATGTTAAACTTTTAATCTCAAGAGTTAAAAGTGTATTAACAGTTTCGTTTGCATGTGCTTGTCTCTGCAGCAATTTGAAAGACTTTTCCAGTTTGCTAAAAAGATAGAGGACTTTATGTACACTATTGCCCCGGAAGAGGTTAGTTAATTTGCCGTTTTATAGTTTTTGCTTTCTCTTTAAGCGATTCACTGCTGCATAAGTGCATATCTATATTTTACGTATTCTTTGATCTGTCGGAATACTAACAATAGGACAACCTCGGTTCATGAACTTGTTAGTTATGTTTTTCGGATCTCCCTCGAAGTTCCTAGTGTTGAAACTCGTTTTATTATATTCCATGACGAGTTTTTCACATACATATTTCACCGTTTCAGATTCCATTCCAGCTGGGTTTGTCAAAAATGGAACTCCGAAAAGTACTAAAATCGAGCCTTTCTGGGGTAAGACGATGTTCTTGCACTGTATTGTTCACAAAATCAAATATGATAGGGCTCGCACCACTTAGGTTTTTATCATTTATAGGTCGACAAATCTATCGGGGCGATGTACAAGAAGCTGCAGAAGAATTTAACATCAGAGGAGTTGCTCCCCTCATTGTGGGACAAATGCAAGGTACTAAACCTATCAGAATTCCGAATGTTAACTTCAATTATGATCCGATTTTTTGTTCCTTTTATGATTTTCGACGTTTTTTTCTCTGTAATAGAAGGAATTTCTGGACAAGTACGAGAGCTTCGTCCAGCTCGTGGCGAAAGTCTATCCCAACGAAAACGTCCCTTCCGTCACGGAAATGAGAGAACTTCTCGCAAACATGTAAGAAAAAAGGAAAAGAGAGTGCAAGTTATCGGTACGTTTATACCCGGGAGGACCATATTACATGTCTTCTGCCAATTTCTTTACGCTTTTCTTCTTTCCTTCAAAACGTTTTCACCAATTAGCTCGATTCACCCTGTAGATGCATACGTCTTTGTGTTAGTCATCATGTTTATTTGTGTTGCTTGCTTGAGAAACCCAAAATAGTCGCGTTTTTTTATCTGTATTTCGGGTAGGCACAGATCGGATATCCAAATATTTTATATATCCGAACTCTCTCAGGTCTCCTCGGTCCGACTGTTCTCAGCTTTGTTAGGGTCAGATATCCGATCTTGCAGGTTGTGGCTAAGGGTCCAGGTACTCGCAGAGTATCCAAACGACCAGGGTAAATGCTGAGGCGAGAGGCCGAAGCCAAGGCGTGGTGGCGAGGTGATGCAGGAGAAAGACGGCCGCGTACCTCGCACACCGTCCACATGTTTCGTCCACTGGCCTCGTGCAGCTCAGAGTGGTTCGGGTTCTCTGCCAAGCAGGAACATGTTCTTTTGTCAGTGTGTGTGAGTTTGCCATCGAATACTAGAAAACTATCAAGAGAGAAACACAAACTAAACATAGAATGCCTAAGGCGATTGATCAAAGTAAAGGGAGCAGAGAGAAATCGGTTTCTGAGTATGCACCCGAAGAAGGAAATGACCTCCATGTATCACATTCGAATGATTAAACCGGAAAGACGTGAGGGACTTTGCGTAGAGAATACGGGAGGAGAGTCCTAAATGATCCTTTGGGCACACACGCATGGGCATTTTGGTTACGAAAAATTCGGTTCTAAGAAAAACAGATCGTTTGAGAATTTTGAATGGTACGATTCGAAAATAATATCAAAATTTTCGGTTTGGTACAGTTCTGAGAAATCGAAACAAAACACCCACCCTTACTTGGTACATTCAAAAATCGAATCGAATCGAAAATACAATGATTCTTACCAATTTGGTAATAAAATTATGGTTCAGTATATATTTTTTTATGGAGTTTGGTTTGGAAGATCAAATCCTGTTCAAGTGATCCTTTATCAGTATAATTCAGATATTAGATTTTCATATAATATAACTCATGCATTATATTTTTTTTCAACTCATATAACCCCGGGGGTGAAAGTTTTTCTTAATTTAGATTCGTTTTATTTTTGTTTTGATATCATTTTGATTTCAATATCAACCAACTAACTTTATTATTTTCTAACTAGATCGAACTTAATAGTAGGAGTGGGCATTTTGGTTCGATTCTCAGAACCGAACGATACGAAACTGAAATTTTCGATATTTTTAATGAACCTACCATTCAAAATTCCAGTATATTTTTTTATAAAATCAAAATTTTCACAATCGAACCGAACTTTGTAAAAATTCTCGAAAAACCAATTTTTTTTAAAGAAAAACTAAATTTTATTAACAAAAACCGAATCCAAATCATATTAAAATCAAAATCGAACCGAATAATTACAATACTAATTTGATACAAATTTTAGAATACCGAATAAATCGTTTCTAAAAGGGAAAATCGCCAAAAAACCCTATACTCTTCAGATGTTGCCAAAAAAAACCCTGTACTTTTTTTTATTACTAAAAAATCTTCGTACTTATACTTATTTGCTAAAAAAACCATATACTCTTGAAATATTAGCAAAAAAACCTTATACTTTTTTTATTACAAAAAAACCCTATACTTATAACTTATCCGCCGAAAAAATCATGTACTCTTAAAATATTAGACAAAAAAACCCTGTACTTTTTTTATTACCAAACAAACCCTATACTTATAACTTATCCGCAAAAAAAAACCTTATACTATTAAAATGTTAGACAAAAAAACTCTGTATTTTTTTTATTACAAAAAAACTCTATACTTATAACTTATTCACCGAAAAAACCTTGTACTTTATAAATTCTAGCAAATAAAATTATAATCGCAAATTCCCAAAAAAATACGGTAAAAAATTTGTCTGAACCAATATATATCTGAATCGAAATCGAATCGATTAAAATTTCGGATAAATATTTAGGTTGGGTTCGATTCGGTGAAAAAAATTAACAGAAAAAAGTAACCCAACCGAAAAAAATTTGCTAGAATTTAATCGATTCAATTCGGGGAAATCAAGATAACTGGAAGTTCCAACCAATAAGAATCCTAATGATTAGACGGTGAAATGTTAGACGATAAAAAATTTATCTGAAATTTTTCCAAACAATACAGTTCGATTCGGTGAAATGTTAGACGGTAAAAAAATTGTCTGAAACTAACCCAACCGAAAAAATTGTCCGAAATTTTAATCGGTTCGATTCGGTTCGGGTATATATCGGTTTGAACAAATTTTTTACCGTATTTTTTGGGCTTTTGCGATTAGGGTTTTATTTGTTAGAATTTATAAAGTATATGATTTTTTCGGCGAATAAGTTATAAGTATAGGGTTTTTTTGGTAATACAAAAATACATGATTTTTTTATCTAATATTTTAAGAATACAAGATTTTTTTTGGCGAATAAGTTATAAGTATAAGTTTTTTTTGTAATAAAAAAAGTAGGGAAAATCCCAAAAAACACTCAACTTTACAATTTTGACAAAAAAAAAACACTAAACTTTTTATTTTATCAAATAAACATTAAACTTTTTAAATTTGATAAAATAAACACTTAACTCTTCTACGATTGTCAAAATAAACAAAATGAATGACGTGGCCCAATTAGATGCAAACACGTCAGATTATTTTACTTAATTTTTTTTTTACAATCGAAAAAAGTTCATGTATTTTTTTGGATCATTAAAAAAGTTCAGTGTTTTTTTGATAATCGCAGAAAAGTTTATGTATTTTTTGGATCATTTAAAAAGTTTAGTGTTTTTTTAGACTAGTTTAAAAAGTTTAATGTTTATTTGACAAAAACTAAAATTTAGTGTTTTTGTCAAAATTGTAAAATTCAGTGTTTTTTTTGGGATTTTTTCAAAAAAGTATAGTGTTTTTTTGTCTAACATTTTAAGAGTACAAGATTTTTTCGACGAATAAATTATAAGTATAGGGTTTTTTTACACTAAAAAAAGTATAAGGTTTTTTTTTGTTAATATTTCAAAAGTACAGATTTTTTAGATGAATAAGTATAAATATAAGATTTTTTTAGTAATAAAAAAAATATAGGGTTTGTTTTTATGGGTTCAAGGTTTGTTGAGAGACTAAGCAAAAGAAAATGTAAATTTAAAATTAATTAAGCACAAAAGAAGATTACACAGTTTTTTTTTTGTGAAGATTTTTCCTTTCTAAAACGAAAATTCCGAACGAACATCCCTATTAAATAGTTTCACTTTTTTTTTTTATGTAAATAGTTTCACTTTTGCCATAAATAATGAACCGAATATTCAATAAACTGATGTTAGCTTCCAAATCAAGTGGCATGCAGCCCATTAATATTCAGCCACTAATTGTGCTTAATTAATTTTAATTTACATTCTTCTTTTGCTTAGTCTCTCAACAAACCTTGAACCCATCAAAATAAAAACCTTGATCTGGGAAATAAAATAACAAAGAGAAAAAAAACTGGAAAAACTTATGTTCTCTAAATTTGTAAGAGAGGATATAACTGAAGATGAAATTTGGTCTACAATATGTAATACCCAATTTAAATTATATGTAATTATATTTAAATAGATTTATATAAAAAAATATTGGTGCATTATTTTTAAAATTCGGAAAATGTAAACTCAGAAAAACTGTGGCTCAAAAGTGCTTGAAGGTAATCTTTGTGATATTTGATACACACAAATATCAACCATCATAAAATAAAAGGTCATTTTTTCATCATCATCGCCACAATTTCCATTTAATACATAATCACACAAAAATAAAAAACAGAAGTAGGATTCCCAGACAAGAGAAGACAACCTCTGAAGTCGAAGAACAAGAATTAAGGATTCGTAATTGATATACGAAAAAAAACAAAAAAAATATTTATTTCATCTCCAAAACAATTTATGAACGATCGAACAAATGAAAATGAATCTCCAAATTACCAATTAAGCAATAGAAAAAAAAAAGGAAAGGTGAAAAAGGATCGGAATTCGGAACGGAGAACCTTACCCGATGGAGGAAAAATTGGCTATGATTGGATTTATATAGCGAAATGTGGAAACTAGGGCTCCGTATACGAAAAGACAAAAATGCCCCTTTCCATTATCCTATATTTCTAAACCACCCTTTTGAATTTCCTGGGTTTGTTTGTCGTTTTTGCTTCGGCATCTCCGTCCTCCTCTCTCATCTCAATCTCTCTCTGCGTTAAATTCCATCGGGAAAAAGAAAAAGTTTCTTGAATGTTTCTTCTTCTTCTTCGAATTCTCGAGACCCGTCACTTCCAAATTACTTTCAAGGCATAGATTTTTCGATGGCATCAAGCTTTCTTTCGATTCCGAAGCAGACGGTGTTCAGTCTCCACAGTGTTAGTGATGGAGACAGAAGCAGAATCTTCTGTTCTGCCAGAATCTCGAACAAAAGAATTCACGGAAACCCTAGAAAGTAAATCTTCTTCTCTCTCAGAAACTCTCCGTTTGTTGTCTCATTCATGCATTTTGGCGAACGTCTTCCGTGCATTGATTCATTGGAACGTGAATTCACTTGGATTTGGTTTCAATGGCTAAAGTACTCTTTCAGGTGCGAGTGCTTCGACTTGTACAACCGTTTGGTTCCGTACGAGAAAGCTTGGTCATGGCAAAAAAACATTGTCAAGGAGAAAAAGGATCTGATTGATCGTAACCATGATTGCCCAGATACTGTAATCTTACTACAACACGGTCCTGTTTATACGATGGGAACCGGGAGTTCGGAGGGTTATCTTAATTTTGACATAGATGATGCTCCGTTCGATGTTTATCGAACTGAACGTGGCGGTGAGGTCACCTACCACGGCCCTGGTCAGGTAAACCTTGTGTTTCCATTGTCTGTGCCAATTCTTGTCGGCTTGTGACAGTAGTTATGATTGTTTGTTTGGTGAGGAAGATGGAAATCGATGAGAAAATGGAAGGAATTTTGATCTGAAGGTTCAGATATTGTATATTTGTGGGTTTGTTCTACCTTTGCTTCTGAGCATCTTGTCAATCTATACGTATATGTATATTTCAAGAATTAAGGATTCGTATTCTACAAGGATGCAGACTTTTATCTGATAACTTATTTTATGGAACCTTATTCTTGCTTTCACCTTGCTGTCTGCTTTTGACTTAGCTATTAGGCAATGTCACTCCTCTTGCTGATATTTACTTTCAAATCAGTGTATAAATGTTGGTTTTGAACCCTCGTTTTTATGTGTCAATCTGACATGAATTTGTGGTTGGAATTGTAGCTAGTTATGTATCCTATAATCAACCTCCGGAATCACAAGATGGATCTTCATTGGTACCTGAGGAGGCTCGAGGAGGTTGTCATCCGTGTTCTTTCCTCCGCTTTCTCTATCAGGGCTTCCCGTCTTGAAGGTTTTACCGGTGTTTGGGTTGGTACGATAGGGTCTAACCTTGACTTTAAGCTTCATAGTGTTATAGCCATTGATTGAATGTATGGCATGCCCGATAGATAGGGCTGTAAAGCGAGTCGGGTTGGCCCGATTCAAGAACGTATCGTGTCTGAATTACCTTTTCTTGATATTATAGGTGACCAGAAATTGGCGGCAATAGGTATCCGGGTGTCTCACTGGATAACATATCATGGTCTTGCTCTAAATGTCACGACGGATCTAAAACCGTTCAGTTGGATAGTTCCATGTGGGATAAGAGACCGTCGGGTCGGAACCATATCGGGAATGCTTGAAGAAACCAAAGCTCACAGAGAAAATGGAGAAGTGGATGATTTACAGTTGATCAAAATGGCTCGTGAATCGTTGCTGAAGGAGTTTTCCGAAGTTTTCCAGCTTGGAATCGAAAAGAGAACAGTTCTCGATACTGATCTTTGGAAAGCAGACAGCATCTCAGAATGAATGAGTCATTGATGGAACACTCAACCAAAGCATTGCGTATCTTATCACTTTGGTAATAACCCATTTTGTCGGAATGGCAGTTGAGGATTTACCACCATTTTGTAACACTAATACTGTATTTTGTCCGAATGGTACAATCTTATCTATAAGAGCAATGCTTTGTTTGGCGGGTTGCATATAAATATCTACTGCTTGTAGATATTTGTGGATGGGCGCTTATAATCTCTCTCTCTATCTCTCTCTGTGCTCAAATTTACCTCCAAAGAAAGCTTATCTCGTAAAAAACACCACAAAGAATGAGCTTCTGCTCTTCACCTCTCGTCAGGACGACAATTCCTCTCGAGAGAGGAACCCTTTCGTTGTTTCATCAAAGCGCATCGGTGGTGAAGATTTCAAGAACAACGGCAATGGCGGCTCATCAGCAAGTCGGAAGCTTTGCTGATGCTCGAAAAGGTATAAGCTTTGAATTCAAACGGTTGTGCCAGGAAGGGAGAGTAGATGCAGCTACACAACTGCTAAGGAAACTTGAAACAGAAAAAACGAACCTGGACCAATCCGAAATCATCCGAATGCTTCAGGTTTGTGCCGATTTCGAGCTTTTCCATGTCGAAAAAACAGTCCGTGAACTCGGTTTGAGATTTCTAGGCAAACCCACAAACGTTTTCTCCAAAGAGTTTGAGACGCTCTACGAATCCAGGAACAAAGGAACTACAAGTAAAAGTTCAGATAACCATAGCAACAGAGATATCAGGTTCAGGCAAAACTCAGCCGTTAAAAACCCGCTGCGAAGATATTCCAAACCTCGTATCTCGTCATCGGGTTTGAAAGGGGACAGAGACAACAACCTTACTCCAGACAAGAATGGAGCTAATCCTGATAGAAGCAAGGCCTTACAAAAGCTAAAGTCTTTAGGAAAGGAAGTAAGAGAAGCAGGCTACTTACCAGACACAAGGTATGTTCTCCATGATGTTGATGAAGAAGCTAAGGAGAAAGCATTGATGCATCATAGTGAAAGGTTAGCCATTGCCTTTGGGCTTATCAGCACGCCTCCCGGGACGACGATAAGAGTAATGAAAAATCTAAGGATATGCGGAGACTGTCACAACTTCATCAAGATCTTATCAAGTATTGAAGATCGAGAGTTCGTTGTTAGAGACAACAAGCGGTTTCATCATTTCAGAGATGGAAGATGCTCATGCGGAGATTACTGGTAACCGAAACCCGCAAAATGTAGGGCAAAATCAACTCTGGGTTTGTATAAAAGACTGAAAATTATATGACCACTCTCATTTCAGATCTTGAGCTGTAACCTACAACAAAAGCCGAGCTCTATATACGGACAACAAAACTTTATAGGGCGAAATGCTGCAGGAGAAATTGTTAACTCAAACATCCTATTGCATAAACGCTATAAAGCTAATTTCCTATGAAATGGGAAAAAATGAAGACAAGAAGCAGACTCAATGGGCTACATGTGCAGCATTGCACACGGAATCAATAGTTTTCGGCTACAGGTCTGGACGGGAAGAGGCGTAAGAGAAATGTGATAAGTGACCAGAGGCAAACGATAGCCAGGAATTGGAAACTCACGACCATACCAACAAGGGCTACACCTCTCTCTGCCACTACTGGACTTGATGGAGCATCTTTCAGTAGGAACATTAGCCTTTGAATAAAAGTGGCAGCTCTTGTCAGCTGATACATCCTATATACCTGCAATGACACATTGAAAGCTCAACATGAAAACAGGAGCATAATTCCGATTAAATTTCTATTAACAATCACCAAAAGTGCATCCTGTTCCTATAAACCTTACACTACATTAAAAACCAGAAAATCTCCAGGATAAAGAGCTGTATATGAGAATTAATACGACATCAATCAAATTCAGAGCTTCCGCATTCGGCGTGATGTAGAAACCATGCTGAAATTATTGCGACAACAGCCAAATCAAAACATCATTTACCTCGAAAATTATGGGAACGACAGGCCAGCATGATGAGCCACGTCTTTCAAGATGGGCCTCGAAAGCTCGTTGAACCGCACAACCAACCAAGAAAGGAAGGACGGCGATCAATGCATCTATCCCTAGAGCTGGCCAGTTCATGTAGAGAGCAAATAGTGGGACTACAACTTTTAGACCCATAGCGAGAAATGCAGATGACAGGTATCCCCTTAGCCCCGTGATTAGACCCCATCTCTTGGAACTGAAGTCTAAGTATGGCCTTTGCACACGGTCAGTTACAGACAGAAACGTTGCGAGGCCAGCATAAAACATCGCCTCAAAGCAAATAGAAGCGACAATTTCTGCAGCATGAAATAAAAATTACAAGTCTCAAAGCCCGATAAATTCGGCCAGAAACCAAACCCAGACACTGCTACGAATGGCATAAATGTTAGCGGTATGATGAGAATCTAAGAAATCACAGAGTTTAAAATCTTGAACTTTCAGACCCGAACAGATCTGTGATCCATCTGACATTCTTACAGCTAGACAACTCAAAACCCTTCAAAACATCTAAACACATAAACCAAGGCAGCCAAACTCTTACCTATGAGGATGTCGTTTTTGAACCAAACTTCAATGGCACCGCTTAGAAAGAACTGCGGAAGAATCAAGGATGATATCAAAGCAACAGGGGCCAAAACCCACAGGAATGAACCCTTCTCTTCCTGGAATGGTCCCGAAACCAGTTTACTTTCTTCCACGAGCTGATGCGTTAGACCCTGGAACGAAATGGAACCCGGTTTTCCACGGAAAGGCTCGGCTCCATCACGTATGTTACGCTTCTCCAAGTTCTTAGATTCGAGGTCTGATTCGGATCGAGCCAAACATATTACACCTCCTCGATTCAGACTTAATGCACAATGTGGAGCATCTCGAAACCCAGAAGCAAAGCTGTCTGAAACAAAGGAAGAACAGAAAAAGGAAGGGAACCCACTTTACAGCGAACACTGTAATTTCATCACGGATAACATGAAAAACATGGGGGATTTTCTCAGCTGCCAAACACATTCTGACTCTGCAAACGGAGAACAAGGAAATGAACTTAAAACCTCGTGAAAACAAACGATACTCACGTCTCGAAGGAACTCTGAGACGAAAACTTTGATTTGTTGAATATCTCGAAGAACCCTACAATCAGAAAAAAAATCGCAAACTTCGGATAAGGCAGAGAGAGAATCCAACGGGTCAAACTTTCACCATTCTTTCAAGAAATTGAACATACAGGAGGATGTGAGACAAAATTTCGAGTTGATAATCCAAATCTCGGAACAGAGAGTCCAAAGCAAAGAGCTTGCAATTCCATCTTCACAGTGATTCTCTGGGGAGTTTTAGGGTTTCTGAGAAGATTCGTTTCTTCTCAGTAGCTTAAACCCTGCGAAGGATTGTGGCAAGGGTGAGGAAAGAAAATCACAGACAAATCATTTAGTTACACGTGTCCCATATAAGCCCCTAAGTCCAGCTCGTTTCTATCAAAAGCAGATATCAGCGGAGCCAATTTTGCATATATGAACCACAGCGGGGGAATTTTACTCAAATGTCTCACTTGGGTCGCATCTATTTCACGTGTACACCAAAAAAAACATAACACTTTTTGCATGAAAAGACGAAATTACCCTTAATGAATATACGATTTTTATCCATTCGAAAACAACTTCGTTATTACGACTTCGTAATTAATTCTAAATATAGTTACAATTGATTCTAAAAAAGGTGGCAAAAAAATCATCTATCTTATTTTAGTGGTATATCAGTTATATATTAGTCGTAATAAGGTCACAAAAAATAAAACGAAAAGGGTATTTCGGACTTTTCCAACCGAAAAGTGGGTTAAAATTGAAATTTTTTTTTCGGTGGTGTACACTGAAATTGCTGCGACCCAAGTGGGTTATTTGAGTAATATTCCCCCCACGGTGGCACGGTCCGACGAGTCAGCTCGTCATGAGCGGAGCTCGCCTTGGGCCAATTTTCAAAAAAAATTATTATTTTTATTTTTTATTTATATTAATTTTTAAATATGTTATTATCGTTAACATTTTTATTTGATTCATGAGTTTCACAAGTTGAAGTGATTTGGATCGATGCAAAATATTTCTAGCCGGTAAAACCGGTCCTAGAAGGGTTGAACTAAAAACGGACTTAGTTCAAATCGAATCGGGTTGAGCCGGATCAAACTAGCCGGTTTTGTATCTTGAAAATATCAATTCACCTCATTAGAATATTTATCGTGTTTTATAAATAAATTTTTTTTTTTAGAAAATTAATCGTTATGTAAAAAATGAAAGAAAATAACAAATAAATTTATTTAAATGTGTCAATATTTTAAATGAATCTATTAAATAAAAAAAATAAGGTTTAAAAGATTATGTGAACACACCTAAACATCTTGTGGTTGTTCTCTAAATTTTGATTGGTTTATAAATCTTTTATATATATATATATATAAAGTTTGGTTTCAATACTTATGGTGATTATATATCAGTATTCACATTATCATCCATATGGCAAATTTTTTAATCTTAATTGCTTAACTAAAATCTTCATTAGTTATATGAAAATTCATTAGTCTACCACCAATTATTACACATGAAAACTAGATTTTATAAAAGATTAGGTTATACATATAATATAAAAAAATTCTGAATAACCTACTAATTTTTACATATGAAAACTAAATTTTTTAATATATTAGTTGACACACATAATCCAAAACAAACCAATTCTAATGTGGTTTTAAATAGAGGTTTCTTTTAAAACTCCTATAATTCTCATTTTCATGCTTGTAACGGTTTTTTTTTTTCATTTTCTTGTATATCACACATACATGCCAGTTAAATAGACATGTATTTACTGCATGTCATGCGTACATGTAGATTAAATAGACATATGCACATACATTTGATATTAGTTATTTTTATTAGCTTCTTTAAGTTCTTTACATATGACCGAACAAATGCATATAGCGATTTTCCACCCATCATTATAGTCACTGCTCTATTATTAATTGAATAAATAATACAATGAGATTTTAATTATTAGGAAAAATCTCATATAAACATCCAAAACTATACAAAATGTACCAAATAAATATTTTAACTTTTAATTTGATCTAATTGATATCTCAAATATTAAAATGTTCCAAATTGATACTTCGAATAGTGGTGTATTTCAAATCGATATCTTAACTCATGAAATCGATGGTAATTCTCAATCTCAACTCTAACGACGACATATAAATTACATGTTAATTTTCAACAAAAACAAAACTCAAGAAATCGATAAGAATTCACAACTTCGACTCTGACGATGATGTATAAATTGTATGTTAATTCCAACATAAAAATGAATCGAGGTTGTAAATTACTCTCGATTTCATGAGTTGGGTATCCATTTAGAACATTTTAACATTTGAGGTATCAATTAGATAAAATTAAAGGTTTAAAAATTTATTTATATTTTGTAAAATTGAGGTATTTATATGAGATTTTTCTTTATTATAATAAACGTATTTAATATGACTCATGGTTCATTGATAAAGACGGTAAAAAAATATCATTTCAATGTATAACCACAATCCACAGTTAAGACAAATAAATAATTATTCTTTAAAAAAAACAAATAAATAATTATTGTGTAAATGCCAAATATTGACACGTATAAATGATTACAGTGAACTAGGTCAACTACTACTCATATCTTTTTACGTGTTTTGCGATTCCGCATTCCACAAATACTTTTCCTTTCAATATCTTTGTTTTACCATTCATCTATATTTAGAAAAACCACCAATGTTAGGTCCGATAAGACAACATATTGTGGAGGGTCGATGGGATCACTCTCGAGACTAATGTCTCTTCACATTCCTACGATAAAAGTGATACAAATTGGTAAGGTTGAATTTATACTCTTAAAAATTATGTTATGTCCTATGAAAGTGAAGTATAATGAGATGTTCTCAAAGAAAAATTTCATATAATAAGTATGAAATATGCCGCTTCTATGAGAATGACAAAAGGGATAGTTCTCCAGAGTACCTGATTAAAACTACCATGTGTTATCTTATGGTCATAATCGGCGCAATAAATGAACTTATTAAAGAGAGGGAAGGGGTACTGCGTGAATACTACTTGTCTTGGTGTACACAAAAGCTGAACAGTTGATGTCGATCTAGGGTGTGATCTAATCTCGTTTTATTTCCTAGATGCAACTACCGCAAGTGCCGGGTCAATCGTAGTATTCTAGGGTCGATCACAGGGACACAAATAGTTTCAACGATATCAATTACGGGTTCTACTCGGTTTTTGGTCGGGGTGATAAATTGGTTGGTTGGATTAAAAAGATCGGTTTTTTGGTTTGAAGCAACATAATCGAAACATTTTAAATCACATCCAATATAATCTGGTTTTATTTAGATTTTAATTTTCCTCCCATCAATTTATCTTGCTCGAACTAAACCCAAAACAATATAATCTTGAAAATTAAAATACCAAATCAAAGAAAAATAATAATAGAAAATCGTTTATTACTACATCTCTTCTTATTATGTTTTTTATAATGAAAATAACTCATGTATTTATAGAAAAAAAATAACAAAATAATTGAAGAAACTAGTTTACAAATAAATAATATATGATGAAAATAAATAAATCAAGAGATACTTGATACATGGGTTTCTGAGAAGATTCGTTTCAAAAAATATTATTATTTTTATTTTTTATTTATATTAATTTTTAAATATGTTATTATCGTTAAAATTTTTATTTGATTCATGAGTTTCACGAGTTGAAGTGATTTGGATCGATGCAAAATATTTCTAGCCGGTAAAACCGGTCCTAGAAGGGTTGAACTAAAAACGGACTTAGTTCAAATCGAATCGGGTTGAGCCGGATCAAACTAGTCGGTTTTGTATCTTGAAAATATCAATTCACCTCATTAGAATATTTATCGTGTTTTATAAATAAAAGATTTTTTTTTAGAAAATTAATCGTTATGTAAAAAATGAAAGAAAATAACAAATAAATTTATTTAAATGTGTCAATATTTTAAATGAATCTATTAAATAAAAAAAATAAGGTTTAAAAGATGATGTGAACACACCTAAACATCTTGTGGTTGTTCTCTAAATTTTGATTGGTTTATAAATCTTTTATATATATATATATATATATATAAAGTTTGGTTTCAATACTTATGGTGATTATATATCAGTATTCACATCATCATCCATATGGCAAATTTTTTAATCTTAATTGCTTAACTAAAATCTTCATTAGTCTACCACCAATTATTACACATGAAAACTAGATTTTATAAAAGATTAGGTTATGCATATAATATAAAAAAATTCTGAATAACCTACTAATTTTTACATATGAAAACTAAATTTTTTAATATATTAGTTGACACACATAATCCAAAACAAACCAATTCTAATGTGGTTTTAAATAGAGGTTTTTTAAAAACTCCTATAATTCTCATTTTCATGCTTGTAACGGTTTTTTTTTTTATTTTCTTGTATGTCACACATACATGCCAGTTAAATAGACATGTATTTACTGCATGTCATGCGTACATGTAGATTAAATAGACATATGCACATACATTTGATATTAGTTATTTTTATTAGCTTCTTTAAGTTCTTTACATATGACCGAACAAATGCATATAGCGATTTTTCACCCATCATTATAGTCACTGCTCTATTATTAATTGAATAAATAATACAATGAGATTTTAATTATTAGGAAAAATCTCATATAAACATCCAAAACTATACAAAATGTACCAAATAAATATTTTAACTTTTAATTTGATCTAATTGATATCTCAAATATTAAAATGTTCCAAATTGATACTTCGAATAGTGGAGTGTTTCAAATCGATATCTTAACTCATGAAATCGATGGTAATTCTCAATCTCAACTCTAACGACGACATATAAATTACATGTTAATTTTCAACAAAAAAAACTCAAGTAATCGATAAGAATTCACAACTTCGACTCTGACGATGATGTATAAATTGTATGTTAATTCCAACATAAAAATGAATCGAGGTTGTAAATTGCTCTCGATTTCATGAGTTGGGTATCCATTTGGAACATTTTAATATTTGAGGTATCAATTAGATAAAATTAAAGGTTTAAAAATTTATTTATATTTTGTAAAATTGAGGTATTTATATGAGATTTTTCTTTATTATAATAAACGTATTTAATATGACTCATGGTTCATTGATAAAGACGGTAAAAAAATATCATTTCAATGTATAACCACAATCCACAGTTAAGACAAATAAATAATTATTCTTTAAAAAAAACAAATAAATAATTATTGTGTAAATGCCAAATATTGACACGTATAAATGATTACAGTGAACTAG